TCAATTGCTTTTTCCATACAGATGAATATTAAGGCTAATTTCCTGTTATGTTTATTCTCAAAATGCTTGATCAAATTTAGAACATGCCTAATATTATGCCTAAGTTGTTGTTTTGGTAAAAAACCACACAGATAATTTTGGATCCAATTTTGCAACACACTTTATAATCTTTCTGTAATAATAGAAGCACAAATTTTGTAATCCGTGTTCAATAGAGATATCGGTCTATAATTCATCACTTGTAATGGATCTTTATCTGTTTTTTGTATCAAAGTTATATTTGCTTCATTCCAAGTTGGTGGTATATATCCCACTCTAATCTAATTCATTACTTTTTGTAACTGTGGTGCTAATTGTTCCTCTAGTGCAGTCATGGTGAACCTTTTAGAAACAGAGTGGCCAAACTTAAAGGTGTTCCGGCATCAAGTGTTACTTGGTGCTGGGGGTGGTGGTGGTACTTCTGGGGGGACTTCCAGGGGTGGGGCTTCCACCTACTGGGGGGACCTCTGCCTTCTGGGGGATGAAGGCAGCTGAAGGCCTGGGAGGGGGGAAGAGGTGGAACAGGCACACTTGTTCTTCCTCTTCCCTGCCCTCCCTTGCCTTTAACTGTCTCTGCAGAAGCGGTTGAAGCAACGGGAGGGCAGGGGAAGAGGAGGAGTAGTCACATGCCTGTTCCTCCTCTTCCCCCACCCTCCTGTCTCTCTGCATGCCCTCCAAAATGGATTTGTGTGCCAGAGATGGCACGTGTGTCATAGATTCGCTAACACGGCTCTAGTGATTTATAGTATATTGCCATAAATCCATCCAGCCCTAGAGCTTTTCCATCCTTTAACTGTTTAATGGCTTGTTTAACCTCTGCAATTGTTATTTGTTGGTTTAACATCTTTTTCTGATCCTTTATTATGTGCCTTATTTCTACCCTGTCTAGAATTTTTAAAATCTTATCTACTTTTGTTTCCTTCCCTTTATATAAATTTGAATAATACATCTGGAATACTGTTTTTATTCTCTTTTATTCTGTTATTGTCTCATTCCCTTCCTTTATTTTCCAAATTTCAACCCTCGGTTGATTTTCAAAATGGCGGCCGCGACATGTGCCGTGGTGGCGGCGGCCGTGCGTGCTACGGCGGCGGCATGCGTGGGGGGGTCGCTTGCATTGGCGGAGTGTGTGCACGTGCGCGCAAGCTGCCATTCCCCCCCCACCTTGGCCCAGCCGAGACCTGGGCTACGGGAGACCGGCCCAGGTCTCAAAAAGGTTGCCTACCCCTGAGGTAGAGGATACATTCCTGTATGTTACAATTTGTTGAGGACCCTGCAAACCTGGAACTAGCTCATCCAAAGAATAACCTTGAGAGCCCATCATCACTGGCAGCTTACCAGAGGGAGGACCTTTTCTTCACCTTTCTTGTACATAAAATCCATCTTGTGCTGCCTTTATTTTCCTACAAACACACTATGTCTGACTTGACCTGGTGTGTGTGTTTGGGTGTGTATTTAATGTTATTTACAGTCTGGTTTTAATTATTCATGTGGTCATTGTTTTGGTTGTGATGCTGGCTACAGAAATTGTTTTCAACTTGCATTTTATCTGGAATGTAATTACGTGTCCATTTTTTATGTGCTGTTTTATTGTTGTTGTTTTTTCTTGGTCTAATGATTTGTTAAGAAAGCATGAATGGTAGCAAATATTTGAGATAAACATTGTGATTATATATTGTACTTTTTTTTTTTGCTTCAAGACAAGTGCTTTTCAGGACTTGGCACTGAGTAATCTAAAATCTGTCTAGCTGCTTCCATCAGTGAAAGCAAGCAGTGTGGATGGAATCCAGTATAGAGTTGCTGACCATAAATCAAAACAAGGAGTCTACTGAGTGTTTGTAGACTCTAGTAAAGCTGTTCCTGCGTCAGAAGCTGCCCTGGAACCCTGCCAATATGGGGACAGAAAGCCTGGGAGAAGGGCAGCGCACTTTAACTACTGGCCAAGGAAAACGTGGCTTTTTAAAGTGTTGTTCTTAGCAGATCTGCTTCTCCCTTCTCCCTTTCCGAATCATTTGAAGTTTGAGCTCAATTGTTTTTAAATAGCTCTTATGAAGTAATTGTGTACATTGGTCATCTCAAAGATAATGCCAATAACTCAGTTTACCCTCTTCATCCTCTTCTGAGAATAGTTTTTTTTTAAAAAGAACTAAATAAACAGACATTCAATCTCTACCACTTCCAATTACAAGCATGTGTGTTGTAAATTCAAACAAAAGGATAAAAGCATTTTATAAATCCATGGACAGAAATCATCCATACATTTTTAAAAAGTTGGGAAAAAAGTCCACACATTCACTGAAATGAAATGTTCTATCTTTGGGTGAAACCAGAAAAATTCTCTGTGGGTTTGTTTTTAAACCATAATAGTCAGCCCTCCATATCCACAGATTCTTTATCCATGGATTCAACCATCCACGGTTTGAAAGTATACCAAAAATATATAAATCCCCCAAAGCAAACCTTGATTTTGCCATTTTATATAAGGGACACCATTTTACTATGCCATTGTATTTAATGGGACTTGAGCACCCACAGATTCTGTGGAACCAAATCCCAGCAGATATCAAGGGTTCACTGTATACCATTATTTTATCTCCAGATCCTAAATATTATCTCCAATTTAATAAATTCATCTCTTTTTCTCTGACCTCACTAGGGTTGACGTTACCAGGTGCAGAAACTCATAGTGTCACCCTCCCATCCACCTCCTCCCATACCACACCATACAGAATCCTTAGTAATGTTTTTGTACTAATGTTACTTGTAAATCGTAATTCCTGTATATCAATGAATATGATGGTGATTGTTGTGACATAAAGAACTAGAAAAATTAAAAGTATACCTTTAAATTACAATAGTATATGCACAGCCTAAATGTGTTTATATGTACATTGTTTCATGTGGTTAAAGTGAAAATTTGGTAAGATGTGATGTTTTTAAAGAAAAATTAAAAAATTAAAAAATGCCGCAGCCCATTTCTTCCAAAAAGCAGATGTTTGGGGAACAGCAGTGTCACCTGGTGCATCCCACATACTCTGCACCCCTCTCATGGTGCCCCTCCATCTGATGACTTAAAAGAAAAT